TGACATTTTAAGCCTAAAAAAAAATCTTTTGTGGTTTTCATTCCTATCTTTCAATGATGCTGGTTAAATTTTTATATGTTAGAATATTTTATGTATACAAACATTTACACGGTATGTGTATGTGATAGGAAAAGGAGGAAGGAAAATATACTCATGCTACCATCAAGTATAAAAAATAAAATTAGTACTTTGGGAACCCTCTCTGTGGCCTATTTCTAGTTGTAGCCCTTGATTTTTTTCTCTTAATTATCCCACAAAGTATTCCTAAAGAATATAATGATTAATTTTGCTTGCTTTTTAACTTTATGTACGTGCTAATGAACTGTACATAATATTCTGCAAATCGTTTTTTTGGTTGTTGGTTCATGTTGAAAGATATGATTAGGGTTGACTTTGTCCTGCAGCTAGGATAAACAATGTTGCTGTGTACTTTTGAACATGTCTTTTAGTACACACTGGCCAGTTTCTAGAGAGCATATATACATATAGAAGTGAACTTACTGGGCCATAGAATTTATACATCTTTCATTTTACTGGATAATACTAAATTGTTTTAACAAAAATTGTTGTATGAGTTTTCCTTTTTTTTCCTACATGCTAGCAATCATATATTACTATGAAGCTATCTTTGCCAGTCCCTTGATTTTTACTAATAATGTTGAATGTTTACGTATGTTCACTAACCTTGGGTTTCCTCTTTCGTGAACTGATTGCTTTTGTCTTTTGTCCATTTAGTTCTGTTTTCCTATGATTGGTGTGAGTTCTGAGTATATTCTGGATAACAACCCTTTTTCTTAATTATATGGGCTACAAATACCTTCTCTCAATTTTTGGCTTCTCTTTCCAAGTTCTTTCCAGTGTCTTTTGAAGATCAGATTTTCTTAATATTACTGTGGTCAAATTTATCAACCTTTTCATATGATTTGGAATTCTGCATCTTAAGAAATCATATGAACATTCTCCTACATTTCCTTCTAAAAGGTTTAAATATTGCCTTTCATATTGAATCTTTAATCCATGTGGAATCTATTTCACAAATGCTATGAGGTGGGATCCAATTTCATTTTTCTCTTTTTGAACAGTACCTTCTCCAGTACCGTTTGTTAGTCCATCCCTTCTCCCCTAATCTGCAGCGTCAGCTCTGCATTTTCTCCAGTTGATGTAAACAGGTCAGTCTGTTTCCAGCCTCCACTCTGGAGCACTCGTCTCCTTGTCAATTGATGAGACTATGCCACCCTGCCTTAATCATTATTACTTCACAATGAATCTTGGCATCTGAAAAAACAAGTTCTCTCAAACTGTATTTCTTCGGGAGTATTTTGACGATTCTGGACCAAGAATTAGTCCATGTATGTTTTAGAAATAACTTGTTAAGTTCTCAAGTAAATAAATAAAGGCCTTTATTTAAATTCTAATCAAAACTGTATGGAACATATAGATTAACTTGGAATAATGGCATTTTTTACAATATTGAAGCTTCCTACCTCTCTGATTCACTTAGGTCTCCATGAATGTCTTTCCATAGGTCTTGAGCTTCTTTTGTTGAATTCATACTAGCTACCTTATCTTTTTTGTTGCTGTGATAATTGATATCTTGTAAAACAATCACAGTGATCTTCAGACTACACTGATAACACACACAACACAGCTCCTGTTATGCCTCAACATTGAGAATCGGTCACAATGTTTACAGAATTAAGTATACACTCTTTTTTAGGCATTGAAAGCCTACAGTCACTCCAGGAATATCTGAGGGCACGCCACTAACACAAAGCTTCACCTTTAACCTAAGGTCTATAAATCAAGAAAATATTATTCTGATTTTATTCCTTTTTTTTTTCCTTTTCTTCAAATTCCTTTTTATTTCTGAAAATATATTTTCTATTTATTTTTCTTATGTAAAACTCTTTATTTTCCTTACCCTTGACCCCTGCCATCCTGAAAACAGTATTATCATAGGAATCCTGGAATATGTGGAAGCTGAGGAAGAGACTGTTGTTTAACTCTTCTAGGGAATCTAACCAAACTAAGACTACAACCCTTTTTCCTACCCTGATCTCTCTAACATGCTTGTTCTCTGCTCTTAGTCTAATGCTAACACAACTAGCTGGGGAGCCACAAGCATATCTAGTCACTCGAGGGTGCTTAGATACAATGTAGGGAACTCTTACACAGACCAGAGTTACCGAGGCACAAAGAAATCACCAATGCTCACCATGGCAGCAGGGCAAAATTATTTTCCACATTCTGGAACATGTGTAAAATAGTATTTGACCAAAACACTGTCACAGACTAGAAGAGATTTAAGGTTTCTTATGGCTCTTGGTGAAAAAATAATTAGTACGTTTGCTTTATGTGATATGATAAAAAAGCATTCAAATATATTACATAATAAAGGTGTATATTTATTCCATCAAAAATTTAACAAAATACTTGAGTGGGCTTAGTTTATAGAGCGAACCAAACAAATGATGTTCCGATGTGACTTTAATGCGGTAAATTGTGCATGGTGTGAAAAATGGTTTTATCATTGTACAAATTTACAATAATTTGATATTGAGAGTCACAAAATTAATCCATCCCCTGGGATGCTCTGTCCTAGAAGAACACGAGCACATGTGAAGAAATGGGTGCTCATCTACTCCCCCTTTCATCATCTTTCCTTTCTGAGTCCTTCACTCTCCCCTTACTTTCTCTTTCACTATTTCATTGGAACATCATTTTCATTGACCTATACATGATAATCCTTTTGCTTCATGGAGCTGCCTCAAGGCCTGAAAGTATGTTAATCAATAAAACATGCAGGGCTTGGAAAGCAAATCAGAACTGGACAGTCTCCAGGAGGGAGGAAGGCAGAGCCCTGCGTCTAAGGGGCGGAACTGGGACACCGCCTGCTGCAACGAGGCGTGTGTTGGAGTCTGGGGGGATCCTTAAGGGCTGGATGGTCTGCGTCTGGTCTGCAGTTCTATTTCCTTTTCTAAACCTCTAGGACTTCAGCGTTCCCTAGCAACAGAAGCAAAGGATCAATTTAGAAAAGTGCTTTCCAAAGCATTCTTATCTAGCTACTGACCAAGCCATTTTGTTTATGTGATCAAGCAATTGAAATTCAAGGAGATTTATCACTGACTGTCCTTGGCAGCAAAACTGGAAGAGCACTTCTTGATGTGTTACCACTAACGTCTGAGATGACTGATTCTGCCTCTACTGCACAAGCATGCATGGGTTTCTCTGCATCTTACTGCGAACCGACAGTGTTGCTAGGGAAACTGATAATTATGTGGCAAAATGGAGGGTGTAGAAGGGAAAAAGGGTTCAGAAGAAATGTAAGGTTTTGATCTAAATCAGCATGTTAATAGTACAGTTTGTTGATCTTCTGTAGTCATATAATTTCATAAATATATTAGTTATATGTTTGACAAGATACAGATTTCTGAAGTGAAAGAAATGAATGAATGAAAGAAGAGAAAAGAGCAGAAATGCATTGGCCTCTGGAAAGCTCCTGGCTTCAGCTCATGCTTGTGCACACGCCACAGCAGGACACAGATTCACTATGAATCACAATGACTTTTAAGAACTAAAATATTCAAAAACAGGAAAAAATTTGGGTTTCAAAATTACAGAGTTCCAGATACACAAACTGTAATTCTATAAAAGCTCTAATAAAATTGCTTTCTTTCACCTTGAGGACTGAGTCAGTTCTATAGCCCCAGTATACTCTTTAGGGTGGGGAGAAAGAGGTGTTACTATTTATACATAATACCTAGTAAAACCAACCCGGCTGAGTTGAAGGACCTTAATGAAGTCACACAGCTCTTCAGTAACTGGTAATGCTGGAGCTAAATACTCGAATTTAAGCTGCCCAGAAGGCATTATACACAGATTATATCTTATTAAGGGAAAAGCCAGCACAAGGAATGAACTTAATGAACTTAACTTAGTGAATGGATGCAAATCTCTAGATATCACTTTAGTTTCAAATGAAGATATGTTTCCAATACATTTCATTTTTAATGGCTAAGAGTTTAGTTCTAAAAGTTAACAATATGATCTAAACACTCGTTTATAAAAAAATCTCATTGGAGGCGTTTTAATACTCCAAAGATGATGAGAAATTTCATCAGCACTGAAGAAATTTCAATGATGATGAGAAAGATTATCAAATGAAACAGCTCATCAGGGAGCAGAGCTGCGCTGCATGTCCAGTGACTGCCTGTGACCATCCGTCCTCTCAGGACATTGCTGCTGCACATTCTTCTCGTCTCCCTTTTCCAGGGACCACTAGGTAGCTATTTTAAACAGAAGTTTCATATCCTCCTGTGTATTCATAATGACAAATTCTTACATGTTTTCTAATTTGTATACGTACTGTAGATATTGAAACATTCATTCACATTATACACACAACTTATGTCTGGGTGTGCATGTGTGCAAGAAAATCGGTGACTTATTTATGGCTGGTGTATGAAAGAAGACAACCGTTTTTACCGAAAATGTGTCCAGTGTTTTGGTCTTTGGTCTTTGACAAATAAAAGGATGAGAATTAGATATAGGACAGCAAGAGAAAAGCACAAAACTTATGTGGAATTTCTTAACTCAATGAATTCCAAGAGCTGGAAGTAGATAGTCAGCCTTCTGATGTTATGAAAAAGATTTTTAGTGATTTAGAGATTTCAGGCCTTACTCATTAAAATAAAAGTAATGCAGCTCAATCTAGATGGGATGAACTATCCCTTTAAAGCAGCTTATTAAGTCTGTCAGCATTATGATGGTGTTAAAGCATTTGGTTTGCTTAAGATGGAATTTTGTTTTCTTACATCAAAGCATTTATTTTTGATATAAGATAAGCGCTAAATTATAAATTCTTATTTTGATAAATCTTTTTTTCTTTCCCATGGCAGGAAGGCATTTTCAGCTTTTAAGTCTCTGGATAAGAAAAAGAAGAATGTAAAGCCACATTTTCCAGTCATTAAAAACAATGTTTGTGGGTAGATTAAACAAACCTTGAGTCAGGCCATCTTGACAAGACATCTGCTTGACATCCAAGTTCTCCATGGTGTCTCCTTTAGAGACTTCACCGAGAGATGTTCTTCTCTCAAAGATGTTGTTGTTGTTATTAACTTGAGTCCCATTTTGCTTCAGGAGTCTGAACACCTCAGCTTCCAAATCTCTAATCTAAGAAAGAAAAAAGCCGTTTATAAAACTCTAAACCAGCACTCCTCTCCAAGAACCAGGCAAATCTATCCTGTTATGAAGTGGCTCTGGTCATATAACTCACCCGTACTTGCAGGCCTTGAACTTCTACAACATGAGCTTTTTCCAAATCTTCTATTTTCTTCCTTTCTGCTTCCTGTCTCTTGATGAAATCAAGTTCTCTTAAGAAGAAAATAATAGATCTCATTGCATCAAACACTCGAAAAATGAGAAAACATAAGGAAGTTCTTATCAGAGGCAATAAACTGCACAGTGGGATAAATAGAGCTATTTAAAGAAATAAAATTCAATAACAGTTAGAGAAAAGGTATATAGCAATGAAAGCAAATAAAACATTTTAATGGACCACAAAGCAAATAAAGATGCTTTGATTCAACTTACTATGCTTTTCATTTGTATCTCCTGATTCTAGAGCACCCATACATCTTTAGGTAGGAGCTCATAAACTAATGACCCACCTTGAGTAATTTAGTGGAGATAGTTACATGCCCGGTAGATATAATTCTGCATGTAAAAAGTAGTATACCTAGTAAATTGATGGAGCTGAACGGTAAAAGTTAATGATAAGATTGTTTCCTATGAATGACGGTGGAAAAGGGCTGGGTGGGCCAGAAGAGCTGAGGGGGCTGTCACTCACACACTGAGGAGAACTGGGGAGAGGGAGAACTAATCCCCACTTTGAGAGCCTGCAATATAGAATGCAAATTTAGCAAGACTTATTATAAAATTATGACATGAAATAGAGTTTATGATGCTATTTTTGGCAAGAAAAGTTAAAATAGTGATGTGCTGAATTAACAATTATGAAGAGCAATTTCCCTCTTTCAGACAAACTTGTTTTACATTATAATTTCCATTTTATTTTTTTAATCAAAATCTGCAAATGCCCCAAAATTCAGTGGGTTAAGAAGAACTGTGTCAGCTCCCATCTGTCTTATTTTTAACTGTTATTTTTATATTTTATTCCTATAGCATTTTCTTTTATATATTGAAAACATTATTTCCATGATAGGAAATAACAGAGATATGGCGAATCTTATATATACGCTTAGCTTCCAAGGCTTGGCATGGGAGACCAGAAGCGGTACTGGCATTACTTTTCATTGTTCCAATTAGCCAGAAGTAACTGACGAAAAAAATCCAGTAAAAATCTCCCTGGTCAGTCTCCCTGAAATTATACCAACATCCAACAGATGGAGGCAAAGCAGCATTAGCTCAGAAAGAGCTGCGGAAATTCAAGAGCAGAATGTGTGGTGATGGTCTCTCTTACTGCAGGGAAATGGCAGGGCACGGGGTCCTGCCAGTCAATATTTACACTCTCTGCCTGGGAAAATCCTGCAGTTACCAATTATAAGAATAGAGACAGAGACAGCCTCGGCAAGGCCCCAACGGCTGCTTTGCATGTACTGTCCTGCTTCTGAACTACAGGGACGTTTAGAAAAGGACAGAGATTCAAATGTTTTAATAGTTACTATCAATGATTAATGACCAAAAGAAAATTTCACGATGTAACTGGTTTCCAAAAAATGATAAAAAAGAAAATACAATATTCTATGAAAAAATTAATAGCAGTGCTTTCCAAAACTTAATTTCTCCATTTTTTTGCTTTAACTATGCTTCTTAGAGGGATAACTCTGAGGTCATCTTTTCTATTCCACTAGATATTTAAAAATTATTGGATATAAACCTTCCTTATACGCATACAAGTATTCTGTAGTCATTGGAAGCTGCTTACTTTTGTTGAAAATCCTTGATCAATTTCTTCGCCTTGTTGTATTTCTTTTCCAAGGCCTGATACTGGCTTTGAGTCTCTTTGAGGTGTTCGTTAACTGTGTGGCATAACGTTTGAGCCTCGATCCAGTAGCTCTCCAACTTCAGCATTCTTTCTTTATTCTCTTCTATATTCTGTTGGAGTTGAGTTTTCTCTAGTTCCCACCTCACTTTCTCGTTTTCTGCTGCTTGAAGCTGGTTAAAAAAATGTCAAGGCAACGATAATCTGGCGACTTTTGTACCAAAAATTACTCACATTTTTATAGCATGTTTTTGATTAAATTCAATAGTTACATATACTCAATCACTAAACACCTTGAGATGTGAGGAGCAAGTATTATTTTCATTATTTCACAGATTATAAAATGGAAGCCCTGAAGAGGAAAATGCTTCGTCCACGCTGACAAATGACAAAAACGTGGGTTTGACTCCAACTCCCATTATCTTTCCATCACAGTATGTGGTGTGAAATTCTGTGAGCAGTAAAAAGCGTTTTAGAGTCTGGCTAACTCTAGCTAATGCATTTCAACAGGTTTTTTTCTTTAGAGGTTTTTCAAAAACGTATAATTATAGGTTAAAAGAGTTAAGTGAAAAGGGGGAGAAGAAAGACTAGCATGGAGGAGAGAGGGGCAGAGCACAGCGTGGCCTCGCGGTTGGCAGGGGGAGGGCTCTGGAGTCATTCAATTTAAATCTGAATCCCAGCTCTGTCACTGTTGGCCTTTTCTCCATTTCATTTACTTTATTTTTTAAGTTATATTGGAATGATTTGCTATTTCAGTTGTCCTGATTCCCTCCCCCCGCCCCGTGCCCTCCTCCGCCCAGCGCCCCCCACTCCCTCAGGCAGTCCCCACACCATAGTTCATGTCCAAGGGTCATGCGCATAAGGTCTTTGCCTACTCCATTTCCTGTACTGTATTTTACATCCCCATAGCTGTTCTGTGACTACCTATTTGCACTTCTTAATCCCCCTTGCCTCCTTTTTAAATCACCAGTAATTATTTTTTTCAATTACAGTTTACATTCAATATTATTCTGTGTTAGTTTCAGATGTAGAGCAAAGCAGTTAGAAAACCATGGACTTTATGTGCCACCCCCCAGGCTTCAAGCACCTGTCCGGCCCCCCTCACAGGCCTTTAAACCTTGGGCAAGTGACTTAGGTTCTCTAACACCACGGTGCTTGGAATAGCTCCTTGTGCATAATAATCATCTGATAAATATTATTTTTGTTTTTAATCCTTTATTTCAATTGACATGAACATAGTTTGTGGCTGATTATTTTGCTGGCCATGTTCTGAGCCTTATAAACCCCAATCTTCATAAAAGTATAAAAGACAGTGTAAGTACAAATATAAATTATTGTTGAATTAATTTAAATCCCTCCAATGGAACAGAAAGGCAGCTTCTTGTGACTTCTCCCAGGAACTGTTAGAAATAGACAATATACTAGTTCCACCCTCTTGTTTCTACAGAAACTCAAGGTCGATCCTTTAGGTGAGAGGTCCAAGGTCATTTGTTCACAATAATGCTCTGCCCTTTAAACTAGTGCTTCATCTGTTTCACATGCCTTTTTCTAAGGTTCAAAAGGAGGCTGAGTCACAAACAAATTGAGCACAAACTACCAATTTTCAAAATCTAAGACATCCACGAATAATAGAGCATTCAGCAAATAAATGTTTTTTGCATATTTTAAACTAAATATATTGCAAAACATTACAAAGTAAATCTCTGCAGTCAATCAAAGTAGTCAAAAACATTTCAAAATTAAAAACTGTGTTATCAAAATGGACATAGAGTTGCAGTAAAGTAAGCTCATCTATGGGTATTATATGCCAATATAATAATGAGAAAACTATAAAACACTAATTTATAGGATTTCTCAATTAAATGTTTATAGTAAAAAAAACATAAGCTTTGTTAAAGCACTTACATCACAGGGGAACCTTCTCCCTAACTGTAATCAACAATTAAAAAAATACCTCTGTCCTTCCATCCTATGCCGAGAAACAATAGCAACTTAAAATGAGACTGGGATTTTACTGCATCTTTTATTAAGCAATGTTTTGCATTTAAGTTGTTTATTTACCAACCACTACTAATTTAAAAATTATTTTTCAGAGAGCTTAGCTGATACCATGAATGATATATAGATATGTTTTGACTAAAGAGCTACAGAGTTATTAGCTGGGAATACCATTTAACCAAAATAGCCTTGTAAATTCATCTCCATTTAGAATACATGGAAAAACCCAAACAAGTGTTCAATGTGAACAGGAAAACAGATCGTTAGTGGTGGGAAAGGCATTATGTCTTAATTTTTAAAAGACCATAAAAACAATAAAGAATGCTGTTTTAAAAGTAATTCAAAAGATATTTTTAAATCTCTGAAATTACATATTTGATAAAACTAGACACAATTTTAGGAACTGATAAGTACCTTACAACTTATTAATAAAAATACCCTTTTGAATCTTGCATTATATAGAAACTAAAAATACATAGAATCTTTCATCATGATCTGTTTTATCCTCCACAAACTTAAATAATGTGAACTAAATGACTAAAAATTTCCAGTAACATCTGGCACCTATGAGCAAATATTCACATATTATATTAAATTTCACCATCTCTAATTATTAGAAATTGGAACTTTTCTATACAAAATAATTAATGTGCTATGTTAAAATGAATTGTTTCTGATGAATAAATAAAAATAAATGAATAAACCTATTTAAAATAAAGAGAAAGAGATACAGAATAACAGCTTGTGCCTAAGGAATTAGTGTTCAAAATGTAATTCGGCATGTGAACTATTAAATATACTTTTCAGGGAAAGCTCAGAGGGAACCACATATGTGTAAATATGTAAATATGTATTTTTAAAATATCATGCAATTTTCCCTAGGGGGTATAGTGGTGCTCACACTCCAGGGTGCACGCTCTCATTGGCACGTTCCTCTATGCATCGAACAGTGGAAGTGAATCTGACATTTGCATTCTTTCAAATGAATGCGAACAAATCCTTTATTGCTAGGTCTGAATTTATTCATAGCCTCCAAAGTTTAAAAGGTACTGTTCAAACACCATGTACTGACTGGTGCTTACCTTGGTCTTCAATTTTTGAATCTCTGCTTCTGTAACTGCATGTTTGATTTGCAACTGAAAATTGAAAAGAAAGAAAAATCGGAACTAAGAAAGTGTATCTATATTTTTCAAGCCCCAGACACTAAAAGAATATCGTGTTACCCAGCAGAAGCCCTAGGAAAGTGCTGCAATGCAGCAGGTTGTAAATTAAAATGTCTAGTATGTAAAATGACTCACTAGGTACAAAGTAATTATACGCGGGGTCTATGGCCCACACTCCCTAACATCGGATTAAGTTACAAATTTAATTGCTCAGGGGCCAAAGGGAAGAAAACACATTTTTTGCCCCCTTTGCAATTCTTCCTTTATGATTTCAGTGCCAAAGAATTGTTTTCTTGCAGTCCTGTCGACCGCAAGTCGGGCTAGTGGCAGTGTGAATATTCAATTCCAAATCTGGAAGAAAGGTGGCGCTGTGGTACCACGAGTCACTAGGCTGAGCAGCTCTTTACAGCTCGGGCTTTCTGTAAAGGGATGATGCACTTCCACCGCGAAATCTGTTTATCTTTTAATTGCAGGAAAGGTACAGGTCTACATTTCTGTCCTCCAAAATATCTACTTATGTCGAGGACCCGGGCCCCCAAAAGCTACAGCTACAGTTTATTAGCACGAGAGCCACCCCTCCCCCCAACCTCCCGATTTACATTTGTTTTTCTTTTCCCCTCCCAGCACTTATCTGTGAAGGAAGAAGAAAAAAATAAATAAATTCCTATCCTTCAAGGATAAATAAATACACCAACATTTACGGAAAACAACATGTGGGTTGGCAATCTCTTCTCTGAAATCTTTGGGGCCAGATGATTTTGGAATTCAGAATTCTTCCAATTTCTTAAAGGTAGAAAGATGCGTTTTCCATAGTTGCATTTTGCTCACAGCAGCATCGGTGGAGGCACGCTCTGATCAAACACACAGATATTTTTGCACAGGACTATTTCCACTAAGTGAAGTGTATAGAAATTGTAAATAATCTCCTGTCAGCGGTAGTCATTTTGGCCCCCAAGTGAGTTTGCCACAAAATTATTTTAGAAATCTGTTTCAGACCATTTTGGATTTAGGATAAACCTCTAATATTACTATAATGAAGTAAGTCTAAGGTTTTCTTCTCAGAAAAAGGGACCTGGCTGATGGTAGGTTAGAAATGTGAACCTTCGGCGATCACGGTGCCTCAGAACAATCGGCTCTCTGGCTCTCTCTTGGGTGTGTCACTTGCATCTCCTTGGTTTTTACCTGGCTACCAGAGAGGAAGTCAGAATCAGGCACAGGTTGATCTAACACCTGCAGATGCCAATAAATAAAAGCTCAGGCCTGAGGGCCCCCCAAGTTTCTCACAAAATGCTCCCTTCGTGCTGCTCTCCGGGCTCCTGCCCTGTTTCACTGCTACACCTCTCCCTCCCGAGGGCTGATCACAGCACATTCACATTTGATTCTGTCCAGCTCACATCACTTCTCTTGCCTGTGCCCTCCTGCTCTTTTCACCCGCACTGGTTCCTAGGGGTTTCTGCGCTCTCACAGCCTCCACCGAGGAAGCACTCTCATCCGGATGACCCATTTGGGACCTGACTGTGCCAGGCAGCCCAGGCTGGCCTGCTCGAGTGGCCTCTACTGCAGACTCACACTTCTGGACTCACTGTGGATATGGAAAACCGGGGATCAGGGCCAAAAACTGGCCTGCTCTTGCTCCCACAGTGACCTGCTGTTAAAACCAGGACTTGGAACCTTGATCTTTCGGTTCCTGATCCAGTGCCATTTTCCTTAAAAATAAGGATTAATTTGACTGGCATTTATTAAAGAGATGTTACATGCCAGATGATGTAGAAATGACTCTTTCTCCTTCTAATAAATATCACTGTTAATCTACCCTACCAATATAAATAAAGTGGCAAAGATATTAGAACTGATATGTTATTTATATAAATATAAATATATATATATGCATGTGCACATACAATGCACACATACATGGCTGTAAGGAATTATTTTCCATGGGGATCTTACACGTCAGGATGAATATACTTGGGCGCCCAGCAAATCCAAGTGCCTCGGTGATTTTGGAGAACCTTGCAATTATTATTGACAAGGAGATCAATTCCTTTTTCTTGATGCCAAAGTGTGCCAAGTGTAAAGAATACAGCAGGTCCTCAATGTCCATTTTGTTGTTGAACGTTGTTTCATTATAATGCTGATGAGATATTGAACTTCTCTTGTTTTTATCAAATCGCCTGTGGTAAAATTGGTCTAATTATACATGCTTTCTCCACAGCTCCAAGAACCTATCTATGAACTAAATTCATCTCAGGCCTATCATGTACTAGCTATATGATGTTGGAAAATTACTTAACCTCTCTTACCTTCACTTTCCTCTCTTGTAAAATGCAGTTCCTTATAGTTCTTAACCTTCCTTATTGAAAGATTAAATGAGATAACCCACAAAAGCTTTCAGTACAGTGGTTAGCAGGGAATCAGCTTTCTATAAAGTCAGCCAAGATTAAGAAAGATTAATCAGTAGAACTCAAATATGATTACCTCTCAGTTAAAAGTGCTTAATGCTGTAAAATGTCACATCTGAAATAAAACAAACACCTCTGGTTCTATTTGAATAGTAGCAAGAAATCAAAAGGGCAGATTTTATAATGAACATTGCAACTAGGGGCAAGTGCCAAATTTTATTTTCTCAGCAGTTAAGTCCCTACAGGATAACCAAGTACATGGCATGCAACTTGTTGAGACTGGATTTTCTTTGCTCAATTACTGTGGCCTCTAGTAACCTGCATCTCTGGACCTCCGTTTCCCATATGAAAAATGAGAGAGCTAGATGTGACAAACTACAAGGCCTGTGCAAGTGCTCCAGGTGTGACATTTATGCAGTGGAGAGCCTGGAGATGGTTGTCATGGTTGCAGTCTAGAAATTCTCGTCCAAAGCCAGCCTAGTCAGCCCTGTGCATGCATATGCCAGATTAACCTACTGCTGTGCAGGACAGACTTAGGTAAAACCGTCCAACAGACAAGTTGGTTTTCAGTTACCCCACCCCTCCTATCTCACCGAAATGGGTAACAAAAGAGAGCTGAACTTGTGAGCAGAACTGATAAAAGCTTGGCGTGTTCCTAAGTGCAGCCAAACTCTTTAGATCCAGGAAGGCAGAATTAAGGATGGAAATTCAGACATTATTCAGAAGATGCACACACGTTTTCGTGCAAAGTATTCTTAGTACTCATAAGACCTAAAATTACAGATGTGATTATTTTAATCCTGTATGGACATTAAAAGAATTTCTACAAATTCATCACTATTAACAGCAAAATAAACCAGTTGAACTCTTTCATTTTATAGAGAAAGAAACTGTGTTTCAGTAGCTTCAGTTGCAGAGCTACTAAGGGTCAGAGTCAGGTTTTATAAATTTCAGTCCACGGTTTTTTCCACTGACACTAAATTTCCTACATGACCCTTTATCTTTTATATCATCTCCTTTAGCTTTGCAAATGAGTCTGTGAGGGAAGCACGCTGGGCACTGTTCATCTCACGGTTCACAATGGGGAAGGAGGCTCAGAGAACTTCTGTGGCTTCTTCAAGTTCCCGTAGAGGCAGGGGTTCTGACACCCCTACCCCGGTTCTCCCCTTCACCACGCACTTCATCTGAACCAGCTCTGGCTCACACAAACCCCGAGGCGTATGTCACAGTTGTCACCTCCCAGATGAGAAAGGATTACTCTGCCTGGAAACCATGGACACTTGTGCTAGTCTCTGAGTGTTCTGACACCGAATACAAACTGGTGCTCAGCCAGCTGCTGTTATTGTCTATGGAACTTTGGAAGAAACACCTGCCTCATTATTCAACCAGCATCTACTGAATGAGACTACGTGCCAGGTGCTGTGCTAGTCACTCAGGATACAAGAGTGTAACACTGACTCTACCTTCAAGACACTTACTACAGGGAGGTTAATAAACACCAGCTCCCGAGAGAAGTTCCCAGATCACCCTGGGAGAAACGCCAGGGAAACCTGCTCCTAGATGGCCCGATTAATCTATGACTCCTAAAACCAGGTCACATGACCTTTGGCTCTGGCCTATTTGTCACATCTCCAACTATGAACCCCACTTTTCAGGCAACGTTGGCATGGTGAGCGTGAGACACTTCTGTGAGGAAGAGAAATTGCCTCTTCAAAGAGGTGAATCAGCTTGACAAGAGAAGCACAGTTGGTAACAGGCTGTTTTCTTATTCTAGAGCAGTCCTCCTTCCACACATTCGACAACCTATCCAGAGTACAGGTCCAAGGGTTCACACGTCACCCCAAGACTGCTCATGCTGACTCACTATAGGCAGAGGAAGTCAACAGGATTGGCTAACAGAAACAGAGCATGAATGACCTGTTGGAACTTTTGGCCTTCAGAGAATCTGGGATTGAAGAAAAGAGTTGGGTGGAAGGGTGGAAGTAAAATCCTAGGTCAGTGTGTTTCAGCTTACAGTAAGACCAATCGCTTTCATCTCTCCTGTCATCTTTGACATAAATGCCATAGAGAGCCGCCCCAGGATTACAGAACAAATAAACATTTGCATTCCTGCCGAGAACGGTAGCTCTCCTGTAACATTCTGCATGTGTACCTGCTGGGTGTACTTTGTTTATTTCTCTCAAACAAGGTGAAGATGGAACATGTGCTCATGTTGCTGAATCAATATAATCCCAATATAACTGCACTAGAAATAAAAACATCCTTATGAACTATCATAAATAAAAAGATTGAACTTTTGCATTGTCTGTACTTATCCTATGGAAGCATGGGAAACTTTTTTTTTAAGTGAAAAATATTGTCTTTGCAGGAAAGATTTTAGAAGTGCTCTGGTAGTAGGCATTTTACAATCATGTAAGAGCAACAGTCTCTGCTCTTACTTTAGAAGGGCAAAATAATAACTGGTGTACTTCATGAAGGCGTTTCAGCATTGGAATTACAATTTTTACAATTATCTTTGTGATTATTTGGAGTCCGTCTTACCTATGACAGTGTAAGCTCCACAAAAGAAGG